TGATAAATTATTAAAAAAATTTCTATACTTGACATAATTAATTTATATTTTCGAAATGACTAATATGGCTACTAATAGGCTAACCTTTAATTTCCTCGAAACATCGAAAAATGGACTCGCGCCGTCTTCAACATAAATTAATACAATACAATATTCCCGACGGAAAATAATAACGAACCCAAAAGAGATGTTGCTGCTTACGACTGCGGTTCACAGCGTCGACTCTAGTTGTTTTGTTTGTTCGTTTTTGCGGACAGCTACGATGACGTAGAGCGCATTCGAGCCCCGTGCATTTCGAAGCTGTCTCATCGAGGAGTGTGTCGAGTGACGAAGCTTCAACCAATCAATGCGTGTTCCCCTATCGAAGAGGTAAACACTGGCCGACAACAATGAGTGTTAATAAACTACGAGAGGCCCGATAATGGATAAGCGCGTGGGGACGGTAGATTACGGCTTCTGTTTAACGCACGAGGCACCGTCGAATAGTCACGAGTCGGTCGGTTCGTCTCCGCGTGGATGTTGTAAACAGTTCTATTGGGTTGGCAACTAAGTAATTGCCGATTTGTTCGATGAAATAAAAATTTTTTTTTACTTGGAACGAAGTTTAATCTGTAATGTATTTTCCATTTTGTTCGACGACCTTTTGCCATCTCTCCGACAACTTGAAAATTCCACTCTCGTAGAAAGTCTGATCCTTTCCGGCCGAAAACTGAGTTAAGTGAGATTTTACAGCGTCATCGTCATTAAAAGTTTTACCACGAAGGGAGTTGTCCAGGGATCGAAATAAGTGGTGATCCAATGGCGCGAGATCAGGGCTATATGGTGGGTGTAACATCAATTCCCAACCAATATCCATCAATTTTTGCCGAGTGGACAAAGACGTGTGCGGCCTAGCATTGTCCTGCTGGAAAATGACACCTTTACGATCGACCAATTCTGGTCGCTTTTCCTTGACCGCTGCATTCAATTTGTCCAGTTGCTAACATTCACGGATAATAAAAAATAACGTAATAATAATAATAATAATTTTATATTTTTATAATATTATATAATATATTATATTTTTATAATATTATATATTATATATATTATAATATTATATATTATATATATATTATATTATATATTATATATATTATAATATATTATATTTTTATAATAATTTTTATATTTACGGATATGATAAAAATGGGAGTGAGAGACATCTACAATTGAAATCGGCAATTACTTAGTGGCCAACCCAATATATCGCTTTCGAAAACGTTGATTAAATAAAATCGTATCTCTCCGCTTCTCGAGACATCGAGAAGCGTCGGAACAAAGATATCGTTAACTCCGCGAGCAAACAAATCCTGCTCCGTGTCACGCGTCTTTCGTGCGACAGAGCGCCGCGTTTCCCCGATCAAATAAATCCGCGCGTAATCCGCCCGTAATTTTTCAAACAAATCACGATACACCGGATTACAATGGATCTATCGTTAACGTAAACCGTGCCCTCGTCGCATCCGATTTTCCATCGGCAACGAGCCCCGCCGATTTATTTCAATCGCGTTCAATTCACGCTAAACATTTAAACGACGCGAACGAAGGGCGATCGTCGGCGGGTGGCTGTTATTATACTTATCGCTGCCTCTTTCGCGACTTCAAGTACCGGCAATTATCGCGGCACTCGTCGATTAATTACTGACGACTCAGACGCGGATATCGATTGAGTCGACGGGGAACCTCGTGGGCGCCCGCGGTCCCTTCTTTCCTCTCGCCGCGTCTCGCTGACGGGTCACTCTAAACTCGACCCATCTTGGATTCTGAACGAACGTCCTGACGTATCCCCTGGGATACACCTCCCCGAATTTCAGAGCGGAACGTACTCGTGCGCGTTTATGCGCCAGCGAAAACGTCTCTTTGAAATTTCCTTAACACATTGACTGCCATGCAAATTTAGCGCGTCTTGCCCTGGGTGCCACGGTTTCATTTTAAAGAAAACAGAAGTTTTACGAAATATAATAATATTAAGTTACTGATATAATATTGCAATGGCATTTACGGTATTTTTATTGAAAAATCTCTACAAAAATTCTCTACACTATTCGTCTCCCCGGTTCGAAGGAACGAGCAGCGAATCACTGCGGTCGCGTTCGTTTCCACCGATGCTTTCGGAGCATCGTTTTTCACAGACGTTTCGGGTCTTCCGCGCGGTTCATTTTGCAGGGAAAAATCAGCGGACCGAAAATTTTCAAACCGACGCTGCACCTTTTCGATCGTTAACAGTATTCTCCCCGAACGCCTGGTTTATATCGCGAGCAGCTTTCGCAGCGTTGTTACCAAGTTTATGCTCGTCTAAAAAAATTACACGAACATCGGTCGAATTCGTATCCTCGCAAAATTCGAAACGAACAACAAAATGGAACACTTTCGAGAAAATCTTCTTCGTCGAGATGCGACTCCGGCGCTGGACTGTGCGACTATAAACGAGATTATGCCAGAAACAAAAGCATAACGAAAACAGGGAGACGAACGTACGCGTGTAAAGAAAATCCGACATTTCGTATGCACCAATACATTCGATATCATTCCTGCACGAAGAACGAGACTTCGTCGTTCGATTTCCTACGTGTCCTTTTCGAAAGCTACAATTACAAAATATCCACACCGCGATATACAGTAAATTCTCCGTAATTTTCATTCAGCTTGAAAACAAGAATAGGCAAAATTTGGAAAGAGGATTATTATATATTATATTATATTATTATATATATATTATATTAATATATATTATATTATAGGCTACGATTACTCGAGCCTTGGACCTCGTTATTACAATCGTTGACGATCGGCGACCATAAAAATGAGCCTCGAAGACACGAACAATCGTATCTCCCCTTCCCAAATCGTCCACTTTCGTCTGCAAACCGACGGAAAATCAAGAATAATTTACTATAACTCGCGACACGCTTTCCCCAAAAATCTTGACATAACCTGAGAACAGAGCTCGCGTCCGAATCACGCGGCCACGATAACTCTCGCGAGGCAGAACGATTTAAACACCATTCGATTCGACGAGTCCTCGTCTCGCCGTGGTCCTCCAGGACTCGCGAGAAATCAATATTGCTTCGTAATTCGGCGACGTAGCATCCTCGAAATCGTAGGATGCTCGAGCGCAGCGCAGCGCGCGCGTCTTCGTCCGAAATCCTGCGAAAATCTTCTCCCTCGATAACACAGCGGCTTTGCGCGACGCGAACGGTGGCACGGCGATACCATAAGAACGCACAGAGCCAACAACAACCGAGACAACAGGTTCACCTTCCCCGAGCAGCTCTCCTCTCTCTCTCTCTCTTCGCGTCCTCGTCGTCGGTACGATCGCAAACCGACGCCGCATCTCGGCACGCGTGTCAACGAGAATCCGCCGTTCGGCGGCGACGTACGCGCCACGACTTCTTCCCGGCTTACCTGTCGAATCCCCGTGAACATCTCTCGATCCTGGTCCGGAAGCGAGCCACGACGAGTCGACACGAACGCCTCGGTTCGACCTCACGGTTCGCACGATTCACGACTCACGAGAATCCGGCACTGGGCATGCTGGGCGGCGCGCGCAAGGCAGAGACGCGCACTCGTCGATCATCCGATCGCAACTGCAGCCCTTCGGTGCCGGTGCCGGTTCTCTCCGTGTTGCCGGTGCCTCGCCGTGAAAGAGAGGGTGGGAGGGAGAGCCCGCGCGATAAAAGGAACGGAGACCGCGCGATGCCGGAAAAAAGGGGAGCGAGAAGGAAGTGTTGTCGAGACGGACGAGCGCGCGCCCCGCTCGCTATTGCGTGTTCCCTGCGTGTACGTACGCCAGCGTGCGCGTGTTGCCGCCGCCGCCGCCGCCGCCGCCACCGCCGCCGCCGCTGCCGCGCCACGCGGCAAACGTAGACCCACGGTTCGCGAAACGAAACAGAGACTCGCGAAATTTTTCCCGACGACCGCAGACGCCGTTTTTTATGGGAATTCGACGCTCGAAACTGGCGCTGAAACGATCGCAGCCGCGGGGCAAGCGCGGGTATTACTGCGGACGAGCCGAATACTGCGGTGTTTCAGGAAAAGTAGAATTAGATCGAACGTGTTGTAGCGTGCTATCTTTTGAAAATGAATGTCATCGGTTTTTTTTTATGTGTTTAACGCGTTGAACACCGAGCCAAGTGAATCGGTGCAGTTTTTCCCGGCGGCGCGAAGCAAAGGAGAAATTTACTGAAGACTATAACGTGTTGTTTCGAGTGTCCAGAAACGCCTTAATTATGTTTACGATGTTTTAATGGATTCCAGGGTAACTAATAAAATGTTATAATATTTTGAACACGAATTTCAATGTAAGGATAATTTGTTTGTGTAAGTATATCTTATATTTTATTATTTTATTTTATTATTATAGTATATAGTATATAGTATTATAGTATAGTATATAGTGTAGTATATATAGTAGTATAGTAATAATGCTACTACTATTATCTATACTAATAATAAAATACTACTATAATACTATACTACTGTAATGTAGTAGCATTATTACTATACTACTATATATACTACACTATATACTATACTATAATACTATACTAATAATAAAATAATATATAAATATATATATACATATAGTACCATTAATTGCTACTACTATTAATTACTACTATTAACTATAACGAGGTTTACGACGCGAATCGAAGAAACATTGGTTCGTCCGTCTAGCATCCAACGATTTCGAACATCCCCCAACTGTCTAAACATTATCTTGGCTTAAACTCGCGGCCCGAGATGAACATTTTTGCGGCCCAGTCACTATATATCCGACGCAAAGTAAGAATAAAATAGAAATGTGAATTAGAAATGTTGAAAGTAGTCTCGGCCAATAAAATTTCTCCCGAAATAGGAAAGATAGTATCGGAGAAGAGATGTCAAGCATCAGGACGTAAACAATAATTTAACTTTATACATGTTTATTACAATGTACTAGTCAAAATAAAAATATTTCTTTCTATGAACATTGATCTTTTTGTTTTGCGGCCCACCTAAAGTTAAGCATCGTTTATTTGGCCCAAGTTAGCTTTTGAGTTTGACGCCCCCGACCTAGACGGCAACGTCGGTCCTCGGGCAACGAATCTACCGGACCAGTATCTTGCTCGCCTCTTGTTCCGCTCAATGGAACGAATACAGCGAATTCTCAACGAGCATCGAGAAGACCTCGACGCGACCGTCGAAAATCGGTACTGAAAAAGGAATCCGAGCATCGTCCAGGCCCAGCCGAAAGCCTGATCGCGTCTCGGCTGCCGCCGCAAATTCTCGATAATCCTCGCGAATCCTCGTTCGAACGTACAAGTCCACCGAAAAATCTTACCAATCAGAGAAACATCGCACGCGGCGCGCCCGAAGTGGACGCCACGCGATCGAAGTCCGAGTCGATCCTCCCGACTGGATCACTGAATTGAATGGACAGCAGCCTGCCTCCAAGCAGCGCCGATACAGCTTCGCCTAAGGGCTGCGTCGGCCGGAGACGAGCGATTCCCTAAAAGAGTCGATTCAGAGAGTAGATTCATTTCCTAGATAAGATACGGTGCCACTTCGATCGCTCTAGAACAGCGTGCGCGTTCCGGACGCACGATTTTGGCAGGGCCTAGCCGGAAGCCGCTGCACCCTTTGCACCCACCGTGCGTCTCCCGTGTCTCGCGAGTGCAGAGCACGAGGATGTTTCGCGTCCGAAGATGTTCCCTGGCGAAGTCCGGGCGCCGCGATGTTTCCTTCGCTCTTTTCACCCCGAGGCAAGGGGCGCGAGGGGTGCTCCCGCTCCCCCTAGTTAGATAGTTCAATTTTTCACGACCCCGCGTCCCCCCTTTCACTTTTGTCCGCGGATCACTCGCGAAGAACGCCACGTGCAGAGACCGGTCCGGCGGCCGTGCACCGTAAATACGCGAAGATAAGCGAATGCGTGCGAATCCTGGAAAGGAGCGGCGCACGCGCGACCATCCTGCCACGCAACCCCGGAACGACAGGGTCGGCCAAACACCCCCGCTAGCAACCCCCTCCATTCATCCCCGCGCATTCAGAAGAGGAAATCCCCTCGGCTGCGAGGATCCCTCCCGACGAAGACCCCTTAATCAATACTCTCGCCGCCCGCTCGGCCGCCGACCAGGAATACACCATCCTTCGGTGTCCTCCGCCTCTCTGGACCCAAGTTTTTGGCACGTAGCCGGGGCTCCGATTCTCTCCTTTCCGCTCGCCGCTCGATTATTCCTCGCCGCGCGGCCGTCGAAACTCGGCACGTTTCACGCCGCCGGCGCCGCGACCCCCGCGAATTTCACCTTCGACTTCGGACACGTCCTCGGCGTTCACTCTCCGCGTATCCAGATGCAAATGTACGGCGAGACGCGATCTTGAATTCGCTTTTCTCGTCGAATCCTTGGGTTCATCTTCGAAATACGGTAATGTCTCTCTAATTGACGCTCGAGGTCGTTCACGAAAATGGAGAATTTGGGAAGAGGAGATACGATTTGTTAGCTTTGTGGTTTGTTTTTATAGTTACGAATTGTTAATAATTATAAGAACGGGCTCGAATAATCGTATCTGCTCTTCCCAAATTGTCCATTTTTGTGGACAATCTGAGCGTCAATTAGAGAGACATTCTGTAGTTAGCGATTGTCAACAGCAATAAAAAGGAGCCGCATAATCGTATACAGTATATATAGACTATCACGATATATAATATGTATAGAATATAATACAGTAAATTCTCTCCCTAATTTGCGCTCGGATCGTACACAAAAATCGACTATTTCGGAGGAAGAGATGCGATTATTCTATATAGAGTAAATTCTCTCTAATTGACGCTCGAGGTTGTCCACAAAAATGGACAATTTGGGAAGAGGAGATACGATTGTTCGAGCCTCGCGATTCGTTTTTACAGTTACGAATTGTCAATAATTATAAGAACGGGCTCGAATAATCGTATCTCCTCTTCCCAAATTGTCCATTTTTGTGGACAATCTCGGCGTTCACTACGCGCATCGAGATATAAATATACACTAAAACGCGATCTTGAATTCACTTTTCTCATCGAATCCTCGCGTTCATCTTCGAAATACAGTAATGCCTCTCTAATTGACGCTCGAGGTTGTCCACAAAAATGGACAATTTGAGAAGAGGAGATTCGAGCCTTGCTATCGCCTAAAAAATCTGCACATAACAAACATGCATAAATATTCGCATAAATAGTCTGATCACTAGTTTCTGGTAACAGATTCACTTCATTAAGATTAATTTTGCAATTTCTCCACTTAAGATCAATTATATATATTATTAGTGATACAGTAAATTCTCCCTAATCGACTCTCAGCTGATACACGAAAGGCTCGTTTTTATAGTCGTTGGCAATCGGTGACCATAAAAACAAGCCGGAAATACCATAACCATACCGTAAATACCGTTCAGATACGGCGTGTTCCACTATTAATGAACGAGTTTCCCTATTTACTAATTTAATGGAGCGATGAAAAGAAAAAGACGCTTCCCGAGGGATGAATATAGGGAAGCTATAGTCGATCGACGCTGCACTGGGCGTGAACGAATGCCGGAGGGGTGTGATAATTCCCCGAGGAATGGAGTCACGATTTTATTAGCGACACAGCGGTGTAAAAGCTCTCTCTCTCTCTCTCTTTCTCTCTCTCTTTCTAGTATCTCTAATTAATTCTCTATAACATAGAGAAATATAGTATAGTATAGTAACTATACTATACTATACTATACTATTAGTATAAAAGCTCTTCCTCTCTCTCTCTCTCTCTCTCTCTCTCTCTCTTTCTCTCTCTTTCTATTTTAATATAATATAATATAATATAATATAATATAATATAATATAATATAATATAATATAATATAATATAGTATAATATAATATAATAT